GGATTGCCGAGACATTTCCGTTGGAGGTTGCGGACGTGCCCTCCAGCACACAGACCTAGTCGCCCTCAAACACTGCTTACACTGCCAGTATGACTCGCGCCACGCCCACGCATGGCGTTCTCGCACCCTCGGCGGCGGGCGGGGGGCAGGCTTATCGCGCGCGGCCCCAGTCAAGTCACGCGGTGGCCAGGAAGACCGAACGCGGGCAGCCAGCGCGCGCGCTTTGCGGCAAATAGCAAGGGCTTACTGGAACCAAGCTTCGCGCTCGTCGCCGGGCCACCCATGGGCCAGGGCGCCGAATTAAGCATAATAGTCAGCCAAATCGTTACCAGATTTGCACCATGCCAGGTACGGGTCCTGGGAGGCAGCTTCCTCTGTCATGTGAACAAACATGCCAGCGTGGACCCCCCTATACAAAAGCTGCTGACTTCGAGGCGAAGCCCGCGCATTGACGACAGTCTGACAGCCACTGTAACCTTCGGAAAGGGGCCACCGCCTGTTGGCCTGTTGGCAGGCGGCACTCCAGGCAGCACATTCGGCAGCTCGGGCCGCATGTGGGACGGGGGGTGGGAGGGGGGCGTAAACGTGGCCCTTCTCCTGCCCAGCATCAGGCACGCGCGCGCGAGCCCAACCCGAGCGCGACAGCTCGCGAACCACATGCCGCATGCACGAACCGTCAGTGAAGATTTCCCCCTGCATCTTAGTTTCCAGACACTCGGGGTCGTCGGCATGATATACTACGGGCAGCTGCTCGGGCGGCGGCGGGGAGTTGCCCCCCGGGCGCGCGAACACTCCAGCGGTGTAGAGCACAAGGTCCTGAGCCGAGAGCTCCGAGTCCAAGCCAGGTTCGAACTTAAAGTCGCCCAAGACTGCCTCGCTCTCCGAGGCCACCGCCGAGCACTTCCACAACCGATGAAACAATGTGTTGCGAGCGGCGCGGCGACAGGGGCATCTGTCGCCCTCGAAGCGGTGGCCAGCCTCGATGGCTCTTTCTAGAGCCCAAGGGGCCTGACAGGCGAGTCCTCTGATGCAGCCCTTTTCCCGCGCAGAGAAGTGCGAAGGCGACGCGGCGGCGAAGTGGGCGCCCAGGCGCGCCCTGCACCCCAGACCAAGAGACTCACCGAACTTACGCCCATGACACCTAAGGACAGCAGCCTTGAGGAGCCGAAGGAGGAGGGCAGGGGAAACGAGAGTTAACGACACTTCAGTCCCCTTGTCGTCGACCAGGGTGCTAAAGTTCGGCATGATCCAACCCAGACGCTCAACAGACAAACGCACGGCTCCAATGAGTCCCCTTTACCTGACTCCACGAGGGGAAGGGCCCCCTGATACTTGCGCCCGCGATCTCCTGAGCCCAGACATGGACAGACCAAAAGCGAAAGACCCGACGAGGCTGGACCAAACTTCTTTAGACCAGCGCACAATGGGGGCCACAGACGCATACCACGTAGGGTCCTTGGCGACGAGAAGGGCCGCAGTCAGCGATCTGCCGCCAGCTGTGGGAGCCAGAAGCCTGCCAAGAGACCGACGGAGGGCAGCCAGCTCGTGGTCCGAGGTGCCATGCACCTCGCAACCATGCGTTCGGCTGGGCAGCGCCTGGGTCGCGAATATCTTCCGAGCGAAACGCCCCAGCGACGACTTGACTTGTGCAAACGAAGACGAGCGACTATCTTCGAGAACCTGGTTTTCCGAACCAGCTCCTTCCTCCCTCTGCGGCCAACGCGGCGGGGCTGCCCGGCCGTATCATCAATGCCGAAGTTGACAGCCGAGGCGGACGCCTGACCAGCAAGCTCGCAGAGGTGGCTGCGCATCGCCTGGGCAAGGCGAGGGCTCGAGCAAAAAATGGCAGCCTGAGTAACGGCGATGGCACAACCGAGATCGCCCTCAACGGTTCCTTGCAAACGGGCCGTGGCTTCCTTAAGGTCTCCCGCCACCGCCGCCCCAGGGCCAACACTGGATAAACGTATAGTCACCCATGTAAATCCGAAGGGAAGCGGAGCGGGGGATCGGCAGGCCATCGAGGGGGCCGATCGACAACACACGCATCAAGGTGGTGGCAAGCCCGCAGCAAGCGACTATACCACGCCAAGCGAACCGCGGTCCCTCGACTCTGCCCGACATGGACATGTAGCGCGCCGATCCATAGGCGGCGATGCACAGTCGGCTGATCTGCAGCGGGAAGTTATGCTGGCGACAACGCGCGCCGAGCAGGTCGAGGTCAACCGGCTCGTAAAACTTCAACAGGTCCCAGAGCACCGAGCACGACTGCCCCCCTGACGTGACCGCGACCTCGCTCCGCACGCTTTGCCGCCAGACGGTGTCGACAGAGGAGGCGAAAGAGCCTGCAACAAAGTAACCACGGGCATGCTCCTCCTCCCAAGTCTTGGCGTGACAGCGTCGGGCCCGAGCCCAAAGCCGATAGGCCACCACGAACAGGCCGATCGGTCGGTGCCCTCCATCAGGCTTCGCAAACATGATCAGCAACACAATCCGTATCTGTCATGGGAGCAAGCCAGACCTCTCGAATAGCTCAAGGATGCGATTGAGCACCGGAAGTGTTTCATCCGAGAGCCATTGAAAGTCCTACATGCGAAACCCATCCACGGCCCGGGCGGGGGGGGGCCGAGAGGCGGGCCCGGCGGGCGGGAGGTCGCGGGCGGGCGGTCGCGGGCGGGTCGGGCGGGCGGGGCGTTTGAAGCGGGCGGTGGGTGGCGACATCCACGGGTGTTGCTGGAAGTGCCCCTGGCCCTCCTCCTCCTCCTCCTCCTCCTCCTCCTCCTCCTCCTCCTCCTCCTCCTCCTCCTCCTCCTCCTCCTCCTCCTCTACGAGGGGGGGGTAGGGCGTCGCGTGATGGTCGGGTGTTGCCTGAAGTGCGCCTGGCCCAAGGTGCCCCCAGCTTTTCGCTTCACTTTGGAGCCCCGGTGCCCTCTGGGCCTCGAAAGGGGTACCCTGGAGGCCATCTGGGCCACCCCGAGAATCCTGGGGGTACCTCGGGCCAGGGGTACTTCTAGCAACACCCGACATCCGAATCCTACCCCCACAAACCATCGATTCTCCTGAAGCGATGGGAAGCCCCTGAGGTCCTGGCGTTGCAATTCTTTCACAGCGGGGTTTTGCGCGTGGCGCCGGACGTCTACGTGGCCTAATATACGGCGCGCATCGTGGGGATGCTCAGCTCGGGGCAGTGCGGATAAAGCGCTGTGCAACGAGAAGGCCAACGCCGCCCTTTTACACTAGACTACACACGCCCTCCTGGGGGGGGGCCTCATCCTCCTCCTCCTCCTCCTCCTCCTCCTCCTCCTCCTCCTCCTCTCCTCCTCCTCCTCCTCCTCCTCCTCCTCCTCCATTCCTCCATTCCTCCATTTCCATTCCTCCATTCCTCCATTCCTCCATTCCTCCATTCCTCCATTCCTCCATTCCTCCATTCCTCCATTCCTCCATTCCTCCCTCCATTCCTCCATTCCTCCCTCCATTCCTCCATTCCTCCATTCCTCCATTCCTCCATTCCTCCATTACTCCATTCCTCCATTCCTCCATTACTCCATTCCTCCATTCCTCCTCCTCCTCCTCCTCCTCCTCCTCCTCCTCCAACTCCTCCAGCTCCACCTACATCCTCCTCCACTCCCATTCCATTCCATTCCATTCCATTCCATTCCCTTCCCTGCCATTCCATTCCATTCCTCCTGCTCCTCCTCCTTCTCCTCCTTCTCCTCCTCATCCTCCTCCTCCTCCTCCTCCTCCTCCCCCTTACCCCCCTCGCTCGCAACCGATACTCGCCGGCCCCTGCCGCTGGACCTGGCAGAGTCCTGGCTTCCAGTGTCCTGATTTCTGGGGCCCTGACGGTGTGGCGCGCCTGACGGATCTCGTTCTTAGAGGCCTCGATAGGTGGAGTCGGAGCAGATGAGGTCGGAAGATCGCGCCGCATCGCCGATACATCGGCGATGCATCCGTGATGCGTCGGCGATGCAGCAGGGATGCATCGTCGACGCAGGCGGTGCATCGGCGACGTCGGAGTGAAGCAAATCGGGCTCCGCACCGAGCCGCACCCGCGATGCACTGGCGACGCGGCGCGATCCTTCGACTCCATCTACTACGACCCCATCTAGGAGGCCTAGAGTTGTGCACACTAGAACCCCAGCGCGCGCGCGCGCTGCGCGCGCTGGGGTTCTGCTCGTCTCTCCGAAGACGCCGTGAGTGCGCATCGCGTGAAGTCCAGGACGCCAGGGGAGAGGCCCCTCCGCGCGTGCACCACCTCTCGCCCTCAAGGGGCGCGGGGTCTTTGGGGGGGGGGCCTCCCGCAAACTTGAGCGATGCGCTGTCCACTGCCATCAGGTCGGGCATGTCCTCCTACAGGCGCATTCTGGACAAACAATAGTCAAACAATAATCGAAACATTGTCCCCAGACTATTGTTGGATGGATGTTTGAACATTCCTCCTACTGCTAGTCCCTTGCATGCGCATCTCGTTGCCGCGGTGTCTCACGACTTGACTTGACGGTGTCGCGCTCTGTACTTTCTGGCTCTGGGCCAGAAAAATGTCGAGCTGCGCCCCTCTCCTTTTCCAGATGAACGTCGGATTTCTGGACACGCGCTTCGGAAATTCCAGTTTCGCGCTTCCCCTGCTTTGACAACGCATAACGCATAACCCTTGGCCCCCTGAGACCACCGAGAGACCCACACTCTGCTCGGGAGGCGCCGGAGGTAAACCCAGGTGGCCCAGAAACTCCCAGCTAGCCCACAAGGGAATCCCACGATGACGTCAAGACAGCCCAAAACAGGTCAAAACGCAGCACCTCGACGCCCGAGGCAGCCCTTCCTCTCATCAGGAACGACCCCGAAATCTGACAAAGCAGGCCAAGAAGGGCCCACGTCGGCCCCAAGAAGGCCCCAGAGGCCTCCAAGACATTCAGGACAGCCTGAGGTCGTCCTCGATCTGCAGACCATGGCGCCATCACCGCGTCCCTCAGCTTGGGGGCCGGCGGAGCGGCGCGAGCCTCCAGGATCAAGCCGTGGCGCCAGGAAGGTGTCTACGACGTGGCCCGCCTCCTCGAGCGCCTCGCGCCACGAACCCGCACCGCCCTTCCGCGAAGACGTTAGCTCGAGTCTCAAGCGCCGTGTGCAGGTGCTCGCGGCGGCAGCCTCCATTGCGAGCAGGCTTGCGCCCTGGATGGTCACGTCCGCCTGGCAGCGTTGAATTGAATCATGGCCAGTCGGAACTCGCAGCGCCACGGATGGCCAGACTGTTGACAACAATGATAGGAACTGCATTGCGGGAACACGGACGCCACGCATCGCCAAAGCTGGGAAAGGCAGCTGTCGAACAGAAACGACGTGTACGGTATGTCTACAGCATGTGAAAGGGCAAGATGTTGAGCCCAGAGACTGCGGACCCCAGCATCGCGAAGCGGCACCACGCAGACATGTTTTCCAGCGGTTGCCGCCCCTATCCTGTACCTCCGTCCCTCCCCTCTCCCGTCTCTTGTCATACCTCCTCCTCCTCCTCCTCCTCCTCCTCCTCCCCCTCCTCCTCCTCCTCCTCCTCCTCCTCCTCCCCCATTCCCCCTCCTCCCATCGTGCTGCCAGCAGCCATCGGCAACACTGAACATGGAACGAATGGGTTCCTCTGGCCACGGCGAGCCTCGGCCACGCATGGGCTCCCCAGCCCGGATGCAGGGCGTACGGCCCAAAAACCATGGCCCCTCCTGAGCCCTAAGGCCCTAAGGAGGAGGAGGAGGAGGAGGAGGAGGAGGAGGAGGCGGAGGAGGAGGAGGAGGCGGAGGAGGAGGAGGCGGAGGCCGAGGAGGAGGAGGAGGAGGAGGAGGCGGAGGAGGAGGAGGCGGCGGCGGCGGATGTCTATCGGGGGCGCGCAAAAATGGATTAAAGATCCATGGATTTGGCGCGCGATCGCCGAATCATGGATCGGGGGAGGTGCCCTCCCCAAAATGCGGCCGGCGCCGCCTCGCTCGGCGGCGGAAGTCCGCGATTTCCCTTGGAAACGGGACCCGTCGCTAAGTCACGTCCCCTTGAACCATTTTTTCGATCGCCTGAAACGGCATAAACATGAGCTGTCGGAAGTGCGCGCGAAACTCCCAAAACTCTTGTTTGCTGTGTCGCCTCTCCTCTCTCACCCCGCCCCGCAACGCCAAAATACATGCAGTCGCCTTCACGATGCGGAAATGCTGCCACCGCAGACTTGCCGTCCTTCCCCTCTCCCCCTATTCCTCCTCTTCGGCGGGTTGTAGCATGGGAGTTATCGCTGTCCCTACTCTGGCGAAGCTCCGAAGGATTCTGTTTATGCAGTTGTTGGTGTCCGTGAAGTTTCAACAACCTGATTGTACACCCCTCCGCTCCTTCCCCAGCCCCTCGTCCGCCAATGCTTCCCCCTCAAACCCCAACCACTCTCCCTGGCCCTGGCCTCCCGCCTGCGCGTCGCCGTCGTCTGCCCGCTTGTCCCATGTCTCCCTCTCCGTCGCCGCGCAACACAAGCTTTCGGGCAGCACCAGCTCTCAGGCGATGGACTCCGCTGTCGGCGCTGCAAAACCCAGACCACCAACGCCATGATCTTGTTTAGGACGCGGACGCCCGGATTAGGCGGGAATCACTGGAGGGCGATAAATGTGGGAGGAGAAGAGTGCCTTTCTGGGGCACTACGGCCCTTTTTCTGGGCCATAGGGCGCCATTAGAGGTCAGAAGGGGACCCTTTTCTGCAGCCCTCGCTGCCACCCATTGATCGCCCCCCACATTACGCGTCCTCCGACGGATGTCTCGACCCGTTCGCCGGGACCGGCGGTTCATCCTGCCTCGTCTTTTGAGGGGCCAGGGGCCCAGCGGGGCCCCCCAGAGCCAGAAGACAGCAAAAAACCTCCGCCGTGATATTCCTCCGCTGCGTAGCATCTAGAGCATCAGTCGACACCACCACGCAGAATAAGACATCGGATCTTGAACGGGAAGTTGCACTTCTTCGGAATGGTGGTAGTCGATCATCTTCCAGTAGCGTGCACACTACAGACAAGAGGGATGTTACGGCAGTTGTGGGGAATGTGGATGGGTTTCTCAATGTAGAAGCGACAATCGACTGGAAGAAACAGCAACTGCAGAGACTATCCGCACCCGTGCCCAACAACATGTACGCTAAAGGAGAGTGCAGGGATACCTTGTTTGTTGAGGTCGATGCTGTCGGTGCAACGAATACAGCTGGCACCGCCCTTCGCAACGCTAGCATAACGAGGAATGGCAAAAACGCTTGGGCCACGCAAGATCGCCCTCACTGGTTCGTGCTGCTCGTAACTTTGGTTTCGGTGTGAAATACATGCTGAAGAACACGATTAATATTGAACACCCGATCCGTATGGACGGTACAATACTGCCATACACTGTCACCGTCGGTGGCCAACTTGCCCTCAGCATGAACATCGAGAGAGATACTGCTACAAAAAAGTGGCACGCAGACTTGGGCCAGTGGAAAGAATTACACGATCACCCTGAGATGTCTGAGCTCACTTCCTCTTGCGATGGGATCGTTCGCCGGTGAGCGAATCACATCAAAGGAGGTGCAAGGGATACTTCGAATGGGGGCAAGTAGGATCCACGGCAGGCGCTGGCTGCTTGTACCACTCGGAGTCTTTCTACATCCAGCGCCGAAGCCGTAACTACCCCATCAAGGTCCACTACATCACCGCCGACGTTTTCTGCCACTGTCCAAAGCCTCCCTATTCAGGACCCCGTCACGATGAAGATCGTGCTGGAGAACGCCCAGCGCCAGAACAATCACATCCTGCTGGAGGATTCACGCAACTGGGCCCAGATACCATTCCAGAACATATTTCAGCAGACGTTCAAGACAACGTAGTTCTTAATAGGCTTAGCAGGGGAACTCAAGACATCGATTTGGACATGGATGAGGATACTCTCCGGACGGCCCCTCCTTCTCTTCTTCCACCCCTTCCCTACCCAGACGGCTGCTTACAGACAAGGTCTGCGACGATGCATTCTGCTACATGGAACGTGCGTGGCCTCACAAATGTGAAAACTGCCGAACTCATCCTGCACATGCAGAAGATCAACATTGATGTACTATGCCTTCAAGAGATAGACTGCAAACGCAAACGTCTATATGGTAGATGGTTACCAGATCCTATTTTCTGGAGTTGACAATGCGGCGAGCACGATTTCCACAAGGGTCGGCTTCATCATTTCCCCCAGGATGCAGCCACACATAAAATCGTATAAGCAGATTTCTGACAGGATTGCGCTGCTAAAGATCAAGACTGATAAAACAACACTCGGCCTATTTACGATCTACGTCCCGCACAATCGAAAGCCGCTGCAAGAATGGCTTGAGTTCTACATCTCTTTGGACACCGAATATAGGCGTTGTTCTGCGAACCAGGGGAAGCTTCTCGCTGGAGATTTCAACGCTAGACTGGGAATCCGGGACCCTGGCGAAGACCACATCATAGGGGAGCAAAGCTGGGGAAATCAAGCACTACACGAAGTGGAAATACCGAACGGAGATCTATTTCAGGAATTCTGCAATGGAGCTGGGCTTATCGCAGCGAACACTTTTATTAACGCCCCCCTGGAGGAGAAAGTAACCTACATGGAAGCTGGTGCACTTCCAAACGGCATCATCACAGACAAAAAGTACCACATTCTAGATTTTGTGTTATGTGAGCCATGCGCTTTGGGCTGCACTCAACACTTACGGAGCCATAGATCACCAGCGCTGGTGACGGATCACTACTTGGCAACATGCCGCATGGAAATGCCTGCCGCTGACCACCGACAAGCGCCAGCAAGCAAGCAGCGCGCCCATGCCGTACGAGACGATTCCTCTTGAGCATGTTCAGCAACAAGATGCTCAAGCATATTATCTTGATAATTTGTGGAAGAGAGGATATCGAGCAGCTTCAGCAGCAACATCGGTGCTACCCGAGCCGCCACGGGAGGCGAAACGGCCATTGGCGAGATCTTTTCTTCGGATGATTGCCTTGATGAGTTGAGCCCGAACGTCAACGTACAGACTCTCTTACAGTAAACCTGCTGGGGGTCTCTGGATTCCTGCAGCCCCCTTCGTGCCGCCCGGCTCCTCAGCCAGGCACGATACTCGAATCCTGAAAAGCTCCGAAACTCATTGACAGTACACAGCGCTCTGGACCACGGAGTTGGTCGAGCACTGCAATCAAAAGCACACGCCGTAGCCGCGCTGATGGCCGTAGCCCGTCCAAGGCAATAACAGCGCGGGGCGAAAGACTGCAGGCCGAAATGGCCAGGCCAAAATGGCCGCTCGTGCCTCTGATTCAGACCTTCGCCTGAAGGGCACTCGAGAGAGGCGCGTCCGAGAGCTCGACACTCATCATCTTGAGCCCTCGGAGCATCGCCGCCTGGTCGAAGAACTTCGCCCCCAGGTCCGCTGGGTTCGACTTCCCGGGAACCTTGGCCAGTTGAAACCGTCCGTCCTTGAGCGCCTTCTGCACCCACAGCGTCGGCGTCTCGAGGTGTCGGACTCTGCCGCAGACTCGTCGTTGCATGATGCCAAAAGCAGCTGCCGAGTCGCTCCAGATGCGAAGGCTCACTTCCCTGCCTAGGCCCTGGCACAGTGACTGCATGCCGATGGCCCTGCTGGCCGCTCGCACACAGCCGTAGAACTCAGCCTCCCCCGAACTCATGGAGATGGGGATCTGAGTCGTAAATGCCGTCACGATCAGGTGCTGCCCATGTTTGATCACGACTGAACTGGTGCTCCTCCGCGTGATCGGGCAGCCTGCCCAATCAGTGTCCGAGTAGATGTCCATCACTGTGGGCGCCCGCTGTCGGCCCCACTTCCAGATGGCCCGCGGCGCCCCGATCAAGAAGCGTCCAGCGCGCTTCAGGAGGCGGAGGTGTCGCTCTGTCGGCTTCTGCACGCCGCGGGCGCACTCCTTGGCCGTGAACTGCACCCCTGGCCGGTCGAGCGCCAAGTAGCCCAGCCTCGTGCACGCGCTGCGGTACTCTGCCGCCTCGTGCTCGTTCAGCTCGCGCTCGACCTCAGGTGTCAGCTTCTGGCTCAGCCCTGGCGTGCTCAATGACTTCGTAGTGCGGGGGTCCATTCCGAGCTGGGCATGCAGGATCTGCGCGTGCCTGGGATCCGCCTCGTACTCGATGGCCTTGCCCCCTTGGCACCATTGGTCTCGCCATCGCACTACCTTGTTGAGGCACGTGATCTCCTTCGCGTCGGTAGGCGCCGGCCCGAGCACGCCCCTGTCCTTCACGATGAACTTCACTTCGTCTTCAGAGCCTCGCAGATCGACTCCGTCCCGCCCCGAGAGCCCTGGAGCACGAAGTCATCGCCGCGGTGGAAGAAGCTCACCTGAAGGTCCTTGTGGCAGTACACGCAAGGAGAGAA